CCCCCCCCCCCCCCCCCCCTGGCTGCAATACCTAGTCTACACGCCGAGGTAAAACACGCCTACAACGTTTCTTTCGGTGGGGGGTACAGCAATATCGCTTGCGCGCCTCGTGGACGCTTGGTTCTCGAAACGCGGACTTGGGGTGTACAGAGCGGCTAAAACATACAGTACCAGGCCGTCTCTCCGCGTGGCCGAGTTGAGGGTGAGTATAGTCAGGCTACCTTTCGTTGCCGGTAAATTTCTGTTCCGGTCAATCCGAATCCCGTCCGCAGCAACACGTGCGTGACATGAAGCTGCTGCTGCTTCTGCTGCTGTTGCCGAAAGTCATCGCGAGAATGTCGCATTAGCATACCGGGGTTAAAGAAAAAAAAATACGCTGGAGTGCAACAAACGCAACATTGCAAAGCAAAACAGGCAGCCAGGGGCGTCTGCCACCCACGTATATGCCTAATTGATGACAGACCAAAAGGCACATACGTCCTTCGTCACTTGCCCTGAAGTTTCATTGGAATTCCGCTGAAGTTATATAGCGCTCTGTGGCGTTCGGCATACGGCCGGGGGTGGGAATTCTGTTCCCTGAGTGCAGGTTCCCTATTTCCCCGAGTGCTTCAAGTGTTATTTTCCGAAATACTGCTGTGCGGCATCTATTCCCCCGAGGGCACGCTGGAAATAAGTTCGATGTGCAAATGTGTGTGTCATCTGCACGACCATGTTCAATTCCGAGGACTCTAACGGGAGCTGTATGCTGCTGTTGTACAAAGGATCAAGGGATTGCAACCCATGATAAGTCTTGAAAAGCAAGAGGTGTGCTTCTAACGATTCGAGAGCATCCCCAAGTCCTACCACTTGGCTCAGTAGGACCGCTCAAGCATGTGTGCCCTTCCTTCCCTCTAGGTAGGATTTGTTTTCATTTAACCGAGGAACAACACAGCGCAGCGCGGGGTCAAACAGAAAACACCTCCCTCTGCGGCACCGCCTTCCAATTCTTGTCGAGCGCAAAAACCTGTAGCTCTCTCCAAAAATCAAAAATCCCCTTCAGATGCAAGAGATGAAAGTACATGCGAGATGGGTGCGGCTGCAACGCGGTTCAACAGCAGTGCAACATAGGACTCCCATTCCTGCGCCACCTCCTCTAGAGCACGCCGCATGGAGAGCACAAAAAGGGGGGGGTCGTGTGCGTGTGAGGGGTGTGCTTTTTCTGGCCTCTTGGCTCTCGCTTGACAAGTGTTTACCCCAAAGTCCGTTCGTCACGATCACGACCACGTCGGACCCTTGAATATCCTTTTGTGTGTGGCGGTGCAGCAGTAGAACATTAGGGAGAAAACGGTCTCCAAGAAGGCGAAAATCGGCTTGAACGAAGGACGCAAACAAAACACACATATGCATGGGCGTCGCGAGCCATTGCACACCTACCCCAATGGCGTGTGGTTGTTGTTTCAAGGCGCCGTGGCCACTCCTCCGCACCCCGGCGGCATCAGTCGCGCGGGGGGCGGGTTGAACAACGATTTTGAGAACGTACCGTCACACTTTTTCTGCGGTGTGTGCGGAACATGTCTCTCTCTCTCGCTCGGTGTTTTCTAAGCGCAAGCCCAAAGCATTGCCACGTTATCAACTACTCCTCGATCGTAACTGGGCTACGTCGGGGCGGGAGACCTCTCCGGTCTCCGCGTGGTGCGGCGGGCAGCCAGCATCGCATGGCGCAAAGCTGGGAGTACAGGGTTGTTCCGCCGCATCATCAACAGGGCCATTATTCGTCTTTGTGGACCGTCGCACAAACCCACAACAGCAGTGCGAGCCTATCGCGCCCCCGGCCGGCCGCGTGAAAGTGCGCCATCAGGATTGCACGCTTGTCGGCAAAGAAGTTGCAGCGGTGCAGCAGCACCAATTGCAATGTTGTTGCTCTTCTTTCACACCACCAGGGGCACACGAAAAGTTGCTGGTGCCGCTTGAGGCAAAATTCGGATGAAATCAAGGGGCTCACTAAAAGCAAGTCGTTTCGGAAACCGAAACAAAAACCACACACCTGGAAATCGCCCGCGTTGGCGTAGCACTGCATGTCAGCCTTGCCGAAGATACCGGCCTGGCACACGGCCCCCGTGGCCACCAGCTGAGTGTCGACGTAAGCGTTCCAGCCAGACATGGTGGTGGTGTCTTTGTTTCAAGATATAGAGTTAAGAGATGAGAATCAACCAGAGGGCAGTCGGAGTGAGAACGCGGAGGAGCGACCGAGGGGGCACGACAACCGAGCTAATCGTGAATTTGGAGGGTATACAGGGGCTACGTGAAATAGATCGTGCACGCACATGTTGACACAATATCTGCTTGGGGTGGGCTTCGCAATCAATCCTGTGGAACGTGGTATCGATTCGCTGCAACGTGTCTCATGTGTATGTAGTCCATAGAAATGGGGGTGCAGCCAAGCCCAGCGGTTCCGGTTCGAAGCAAAAACAGAGCTGCAACACCACATGTCATGTTGTCCACAGCAGTAGACATTTAGTTTGTAGACTAGACTATTAGGCTTTGTTGCGCAGCAGTCTACAAGTATCCACGTAGAGTGCGACGTTGATATAAGTACCCACGTAGTGTGCTACGTACATGTCTTGAACTGCTCAACATTCATCTCGTCTCTACATACTTACCTCTTTATATTTATTCCATCGTTGCCCACCCGCCCACGCCTTGAGCCAATATATCCTTGTTGGCGCCTGGAACAGACTGACTGGTCCAGACTAGACTATGGCACGTCATTACTATTTTAGGGTCTACTGCTGTAGCCTACACTACATGCACCCATTGTACATACAGACTTAACAGCAATTTTTTGCCCAGAGGGAGCTGCTCGCGAACAGCCTCACGCAGATTTAGCATTTCGTATCCCCCCATGTCCAGCGAACAAATCAAACGCACGCATATTTCGACCGACAGCTTGTTTTTTGTTGGAAGCAGTTCACGTTGTTATACTGCTGTTGGCGGAGAACAGAAACGCCCATTGAAGGAGAGTCTGCGGGAAAGTGAGAAGTGAGTCCTACGAATAACATCATTTGAATAACCGTGAATGGTTGAAAGCTGTTCAAAGACCTCAAGTAGCACACACAGAGAGGCAACAGCGAAGCAGTGAAAATACGATGTACACCTGTCGAAAAACAATAATTACTTCCGCGTGTCGAGATATGTGGAAGGCTGAATGAACGATAGGAGACTAGGAGAGCGGGGGTAGCGGTGTGGCCGTGAAGAAGAAGCACGACATACCCCAACGTTCGCTCCTCTTTCTGCCCCCCGAACACCTCGGAACGTTGTGCGGAAACTGCGAACGAACATCACCGGCGGACTAAATCATCTACATGATTGAGGTATTGCCTCAAAGGGCATGTGTTGAAGTCGTTGCCGCAGCGAGACTTGCCGCATCGCGTGGCGATATCTATTTGTTCTATTGTTTTCGGAAAAACACAGAACACCGATGACAAAGGCCACCGTTCAGTCGACATCGCATCTGTAGCTGTTGAAGGCGGTAATATAACTTCTCCCGCTTGTCATCATCATCACTACGAACAATCCCGAACATATCCGTGCCTAACTCTCTGGGGAAACGTTGAAGATGACACAAAGGGGACTCTTTGCGAATGATTCATTCAACACCTGGATGCCAGTGTTTGTACGACTGATGACAACATGCGGGGTGGTGGAGAAGAAAGCATCAACAATGATAGAAGTACATATAGCATCGCTGTGGCGACGGGTCGGAAACGAAACTACGGATGGTTGTGCGTACTGCCATCCGGGTCGTCATTGACCGGATACCCGTTAGCCTCGAAGACTAGATGTGTACGTCGGCTCGCATCCACACCGAGGACTATGGTAGGCCGCCGATCAAACGGTACATGCTGCCTTTACCCAGAACTCACGAAGTTATCCCTACGGGACCGAAAAATCGGACGGAAAAATGTCATACAGCCAATGACTGCGGAGGGTACGCAACGCTAACAAACCCAGCCAGTGAAAAAAGGCATGCGCGCGCGCGTATGAAAGATGGTTGGTAGTTGGCGGTGGCCTTCACACACCATGCAAACAGCAATTGCATCGATGGTTTATCCACTCGGAATAAATGTAACCTAGCACAGCAGTACGGAATGCACCGCGGAACGAAAAGGAATGCATGTGTACTTCCAAATCGATTGTAGTCGCCTACAGTCGGCGGAGACATCACACCTGACATCTCCAAACAAACACGACAGCAAGGCACCAATATCCTACAGAAGGAGCTTACAGAGGCTCCCGACCCAAAACGGACATAAATAAACACAGACCGACAAAGCCTATCACTCGCAAGCCGAGATCAAACCTACCGCTGAACCACGTCGAAACGAATGACGCTCGCGCGAAGGCATCCATCCCATCGTAGAAAAACAACCTCCGACCAATACCATGACACACAACAACATCACTGGCGAACGGCCTGGAAACACATGGCAGCCTCGAGGGAGAGCACATCCACCAGCCCACTTCCAACATAACATTAACCATCTCTGAAACAGCATACGGAGTCAGAAGCTTCGCTCACGACAGAGCCAAGCGGGATTGCGGGGAAGATAGCCGGCTCTATTGTATCTACATGGACAAGATAGCCGGCTGATGAAGACGAGGATATCCTCGTCGACACTTGTTTGATGCACATACATGTTCCATAGGGACACGAGTTCGAAAGACCACAACACTCCGCGACTCTTTTTGTGAGCCGCACATGCCTGGCGAGTCGTCCTGCGGGACTACCTAGCACACACATCTCCGTCTGTATACTTCGTCCGCTTTCGTTCGTAGAACTTCTACACTCACGTCCTGGGAACCATTCCCAGGAACCATGGGAAAACCCGTGGTAATAGCGCACTGAGAGGGCCGAGGGCCTCGAGTCCTTGGTAGGAATAGAACCTGCAGCACTTATGTATGCCAATAAAAAGTCGCTGAAGGAACGTATTTCGACCCTTTCAGCAGCACAGAGACTAGTACCGACGTTCAAACTGAAACAACGAAATCAGTACGAAGTCACGGCGGCATCTTGGTGCAAACCGTAGCAACCACCGCGGGCGACACCACCGGCGAGATCGATCTTTCGCACCCAGCTTGCTTATATTCTTGTACGCGGTAGGCAGCGCCCGACGATGGCTCACGACCTCCAGCGTGCGTGCGAGAACCGCAGCGCCAAGAACAAAGAACAGACAACGTGTGGAGGGGTAGGTGGGGGTAGGGGGGCAACCAAAGGGCGCAAAACATATCAAGACTAAGACGTGAAGGACGAGAACGAGAACGGATTTCGGAATGATTCATGGCGGCGACACGAAAAACACGAAGAGTTGGCCCGCCGCTACGCTGTGGACGTACCCATGTCGTCTTTCATGAGCACCAAAACAACAGAGAGTGGAACATGCAGCTGAAAGTCATTTTCTCCGCATCAAGCTCTGTCCTCGCGGCCTGCTTGCCCTTGCCAATATTCACCGACAAGCCGATCTATTCGCGCTCCCCATCCCATCCAATTTCCCATTGTGGCGGGACATGAGCGGGGGGAAGTGAAACTGATGGTGCCACACACGTGCTTTTACACGGTTACAGTATTTCTGTTGGGGGCACAATGAAGCCATGTATGCGTTGGCGTGTGAGAATGAGTAGCCAGCAAGACCTCGTCATGATACATGCTTGAATACAACGCTACAGGTTTCACCCGTGGGTTATTCCTGGGGTTGATCAGCCACGCTTAAGGTGAAACTCCCCGCTGTTGATGGTGTCGCAGTGCTCAACGAACTCGGTCCCTGCGACCCTTGGCAGTCATTTAGTTGCAGAAGCTGCGACCCCCCTTGGTTCTCGACCGTGCTACAGTACACAGACATAGCCAAAACCAACGGTAAGGTAGCATCAGCACCGCCCTCAACGCGGTAAAAGTCTCCTCCGGAGAGAGCGGTCTCGGTCATCCTGCCGAGTCGCGAGTTTCACTGACGGAATCATGATCACACCGCGAACACGACGGTTGCCGGCGGGGAAAAGTGGGGGCGCGTAAAGTAAAACTTGCGACCTAACAATACTTTCAGGGTGTACACCCCGACATGTTGGTCGTTTCTCTTCCCCGCGGGACACCATGCGCGTAGTGACAAAAGCCTTAACTATTCTACTGTAGAAGCTTCTGCTGGCATGGCTTTACACGCGCTGCAATATGCACACACAAACTAGTCTACAAGTGTAATCTTGTCGACCTGGAATGGAGGAGAGTACGATAGCACCACAATTTCGTGTTTTTCGGGCAGGACGGCGAAATGGCCCACTCGCGATGCGGGCACGACGGAGAGGAACGATACTCAAGGCCCAAAGCGCGTATGACGAGAGGGAACATGCACACTGCTGTACCCATGCTTAGATACTGCTGTACCCAGACAGAGGACTGCTTAAGAAGCCTTCGTCGTTTAGTCTATTCGAATAAACTGGTACAAGTAGTATTTTACTGCTGTATGCACAGGGTAAGCAACAACAGCAGTGCACTCGCGGTTGTGCATGTAACAAAAGGATACGCAGGGATTCACAATCTGCACTACACCAGTAAAAGCCTCTAACGGCGAATGCGTCACTCTCACCAGCTTTTGGCGACAAGGACCGCAGGGAACTCGGCGCTTGGTTGGTTGGATACTTTTTTCGTAGATATCCTCATGGTCCTGTCACGATCTCCGAAAACATTCGACAGTCCCGGGTCCTTGTGGCTAGCAGGGCGCGCCCCAGCAGCACCAAGAAAAAAAGCACACGCTCAAGCACAACACGGGGAAGCGTGCGCCTGCAGAGTGCCTGCCACAACACCGGAACATCTTTGCGAAAACGATGATGGCGAGGAGCGCGGTAAGAGGCGGGATGGGTTTTATCGGCATCTTGCTGTCGAGAGCTGCGTCGTCTGCCTCCGCCAGGCCGCAGCCTTGGGGCCGCGTGTGCTCCACGGCGCTCGGCGTGCGGGGAGGAGCGTCCTCGGCTACCGTCGAGGCGATTGAGGTCGATACTGCTGCGGCAGGGAGACCAAGAGCGAGTGGTCCTACGTCGTCTCCTGCTGCGACTAGCGATCCTTTCCAGCACCTGCCAGGGATTGAGGTGTGTTGTACTGCAGTACACACAGCAATAGTACCACAGCAGTAGCAGCTGTGGGAGAGGGAGAGAACATGCCGCCTTGCGGTTGCAGCAGGCACAGAGGAAGCA